CTTTCGTAGCCATTGATAAGCTCTGATTCACTATTTGGGCTTTTCTACAGTAGACAGTTCAAAATTACACATTCTGTTCTCATAAATCCACAAGACTAAGATACCAAACAACTATAATTACGCAGTGAAATAAAAAATGTGATTCTGATAAATAAAAAGAAGAATTCCGATGTGATATAAAAACTGTAGAGATTCTACAAGTATTTCATTTCCTTTAATCTAATAATGCCTTTCTTTTTCTAATCGGAGTGTCTGGCTTTTGTTGCAGCATTTCACCAGGTAACGTGATGACACCTCTGTGGGAGCAACTAGCAGCACAGACACCAGACGCAGCTGCCGCCATTAAAATGGGGGAAAATGCTCAGGTACGTTCAGGAAGGTGTTCAGAAGCCGTGCAGATTATGGGGGCTGGTTAGTAGTGAAGAGTTGAGTTATGCAAAGTCATTAATGAAAAGTTATTAAAATGTAATAAAAATGATCCGTGCCATCATCAAATCACCAAGAACCTCCACATTGGATCAGGGCAGCGAACGCCTCTGGTGCTGATTGTCAGCAGGCTGCTGGTGGAAACTGTGCTACTGTTGCCTGAAAACAATGGAAGAGGAGAGGAGGAAGGTGTGTTAGGAGGCAGCGTGAGCGAGGAAAAGGCAGGAGTGTGGAGGTCAGAGATAGGGGCTTAATGTGAGGAGCTAGCTGATATGAAGGAGAGAAGGAAGGCGGATATTTTTCAGAGCAAGTGTCTGACAGAGATGAGAGTCTGCAAGGTGGTGTCATGGCAGATTGTAGCTAGGCAGCATGAGATAGAGACGAGGATCAAATGGTGGAAGTTGAAAAAGGAAAAATGTAAAGAATTCAGAGAGGAATGTCGACAGCTCTGGCTGGTAGGGAGGAGTTACCAGATGATGGGGAAAGCTGAAGTGATGAGGGAATGAAAACAAGGACACTTGGGAGAGGAATGAGAAAGTATTGGAAAGTGTTCAAAGAGTTTGGCAAGGAAAAAGCGGGATAGTCAAGAAGATGCAGACAGCTGATAGGAGTACTTGGAGGCTAGGTGTACAGCAAACACAGGTGGCAAAGGAGGAAAAGGCTTTTAGTGAGTTGTATGTGAGGCAGGACACTAAGGAAGGAAACTTTTATCGGTTCGCTAGGCAGAAAGATTGAGCTTGAAAGCCGAAAGTGCAACAGGACAGAGAGTGGAAGTTGCTAAGATTTTTCACCTGGTGAAAAAGGAACTGCTTGTGACGATGTAGGTAGATTGACTATTGTTGAAGTCGACATGCTGAGCCAGTGATGCAGTAGATGGAAATGCGACTTCACTTGTCTCTCATCGTGTATTCTAACCAGAGTCTCAGTGATAAGATGAATTTGGAGGCATATTCATGAGCTTCCGATAAAGTGATGACACGGTAGTGTGAAGAGTTTAGCGCTTACTTTTGCCACCACGATTTAGTGGAAAGCAGGTTTTTACAATGTGAGTACATGTATGGGGTAGACAAGACATTATACAGTAGTATGTAATATCGTTATAAAGATGGGAGATCTGCTTTATAACCGTTAGAATAATAGCATCAGAAGTTTAGTGGAAAGCAGGTTCATTATACTGTTAGGTAAAGACACTACAGTATTGGAGAGAGATCACAAACAATCAGACGATCCCATTACTGCAAGTGCTTGATAACGGGGAGTAGGAAGAGCTTCCTTTCACTGAACGAAAGTAATCATGTTCAGACTGATGGTTTCTAAGGAAGCTGACATCAGCTTAGGGCGGCTGAGTTAGTGGCACCCAAGCACAGATGTCCAGACACAGTTGAAGTAAAAAGGAAATTATTATAAAAGTTCAAGAACCCTCTCTAGAGCTAGTTTTCTTGTGAATGTATAGATTTCCTACTATCCCTGTCCTCCTGAACGCAGCAAAGCAAACCGCATGATTTTGTGGCACTTTGAACTTTACAAACAAACATGCTGACAGCGGCTGATCGTTTCTGCTGGCGGCAGAGGAGTCCTGCTGTGATGACTCCGAGCAGACAAAGTAAGAAGTAACCGTTATTAGTCCGCTGTTTGACAGCAGCGCCGCTTTGCGTCACATTTATCATCGTAACCGCAGACGAAATGTCCCTCCGCTACTACAACAAAGTGGCTGTTGTCACAGGAGGATCCAAAGGGATTGGCAGAGGGATTGTCAGAGTGTTTGGTATGAAAATGTCTTTATTTATGCTGGCAGTTTGCGCATGCAGCGAGGAGTGGCGCACTGAACATTTTTGCGTCTTTTTTGTTGTTGTTCTTTTATAGTGGAAAACGGAGCCAAAGTGGCGTTTTGTGGAAGAGAAAGTTAGTAAGGCTGTTTTTATTCTGCTACTTTGTAAAACAGTTACACGATTTCACTTTTGGCAGCATATATGAAAAGAAAAATAATGGGGTGCAGTGTTTTGCGGCATGATCAGACGTGTCTCGTAGGTGCAGCAGGTGAAGCTTTAGAGGCGGAGCTTAACAAGACCGGACCAGGCTCGTGCAAGTTTGTCAGAAGTGACATCTCCAAGGAAGAAGACATAAAGGTGAAGTGCAGCTTTGTGGGTGTATGGTCTGAAATGGAAAGAGTCACATGATCACATGATGATCACATGATGATCTCACTGAACTCAGTGACTCCCGCATTCACTGCGGATGTGTATTTGTCATGTGTTGGTTCCTCTTGTCTCTGCAGAGGCTGATTGCAGTCACAGTGGAGCAGTTTGGTCACATCGACTGCCTGGTCAACAACGCAGGCTGGCGTGAGTCTTTTGTGTGTGTGTTGTTGTTTTTTTTACTAACAAGGAGACATGACAACAAGGCTGTGTTGCTTACTGTCTGTTTTTGTGTTTGAAATCTTCCTCTTCAGACCCTCCTCATAAACCCACTGACGACACCACAGCAGAGGAGTTCAGAGACTTGTTGAATCTGAACCTCGTCAGCTACTTTTTGGCGTCTAAAGTACGTTTTCACAGCTTTGGGTGCAAATAATTTCTGTCTTCGGTGGTAACAAAGACAGTCCTTAAGGATTAAAGTGATACATTTAAACACTGATGAATGAAAT